ATGAATTTAATTTTATGACTGACCCAAAAGCAACTCACCCATATGAAATTTCCTTAGACTTCAAAGAATTAACAGAAAATAAGAAAAAAAGACAATTGATAGCCTTTACTGATGGGTCAAAGGGAGAAAATGGTGTAGGATCAGGTGTGGTAGTCAAGAACAGTGAAGGAAGAACTTTATACCAGGCAGCGTTCAAGCTTGCAGATCATTGCTCAATTACTCAAGCAGAATTATGGGGTATATTTAAAGCCCTCACTTACATCAGTCAGCTCTCTCACACAACCTATAAAGAACTACTTGTCTTTACCGATAGTAGAGCTGCTCTACATATACTAAGAAGAGAAAATAACAAATCAGCCCTAGCTAAAGAACTCATAAATTTGGCAACAAAATTAGGAAAACAACTAAAAATCTCCTTCAATTGGATACCCGGTCACGCTGGCCATGCAGGAAACGAGTTAGCTGATAAATTGGCGAAAAAAGCCTCAATTGCACAAACTAAAATAACATACTGGCGGCTTCCTATCAGCTCAATAACTAAGTACATCAACCAACAAATTTGTGCTTTATGGCAAACAGAGTGGGAAGAATCACCCACTGGAAGGTTGTGCTTCAAATTCTTCCCATCCATCGAGGACAGACAGAAAAACAGAATATTCAAACCATCGTTCCAAACAACACAATGCCTGACAGGGCATGGATGTTTTAACTCATATTTGTACCGTTTCAAGAAGAGAGATTACAACCATTGCGACGCAGACACGAACAACGAAGATACCGTTCATCACTTCCTCTTCGAATGCACCAAATACACAACCCTCAGAGAAAATTTCGAGAGAATATGTATCACAGAAGGGAAAAACTGGCCGCCAAAAGAGAACGAACTTATAATGAATAACAAACTTTTTAAAGCATTTGAGAAGTTTATACAGGACAGTGGTGCATTAGTACCTCAGTTTGGTGACCTGAATTTAAATATACTCAACACAGATACAACAGAAACTAATGACAGTGATGACGACAATAACTACAATTCCTTCACAAGCGATGAAGATTAAAGAAAAATGTTAAAAATAAAGACTGTTATATGTATATAAATTCAATTGTGCTACGAATAACATAGTGTGATTATTAAGTTATAAGTTATCTTGTAAAAATTTCTTGTTAAAACTTTATGGATTTCGATCTGTATGATTACATCAAAAATTCTTTGTCAACTGATTACTAAATGTATTACTTTAAAATTATACCTGTTGTATATTTAATATTTCATTAATGTAATAAGTATTGCATCCCATTCTAAACTGTTATAACTGTAAATATGTATAAAATTATTCAACCAACCATTCGAATTCCTATTATGTAAGCAAAAATTTACTGTTTAATAATGTAACCAAAACTGTATTTATCCATTGTGTTCAATTATTATTTATTTATCCATTAATATGTTTGTATATACTTTGATGCAAAAGATATGCATCCTTCTGTTAATTGCATCTGTATGTAAAAATGTTACTGTTAACTATTTGTATTCCTCTGTAAATATTGTTTTAATAAAGGCGATGCGGGCGCCCATGGGGTCCTGTGGGGGCCTTATGGTTGCTTATTTCACACTTTCCTATCTTCCTTTATTTCCTCTGCTCTCTAACTCTTACTTTCTTTTACTCTTCCTTCCTATTCATACAGGGGTAAAGTTTGCACTAAATTGCAGATAGCCCCTCTTGTCTTTTATTAGAATAGAATAGAAAAGTAGAGATAAATATTTTGAGTAAAAGCAACATGGTAAGTACTTGGATACTAAATTTAACAAATTAACCACAAGTTTTCTTAACTTTACATCAAAATAGCACTGTTAATTGAAGATAAAATGGCATAAAAATCAAAGGAAATAGTTCTAGAAAGTTTAATTTTAATACTTAAACGTTATAAATTTATATATAAATGGATTTAAATGACCAAAAACGTAAATAAAGTCTTATTTTCTATAAAAAGTAGCATTATAATGCTCAAGCGTTAGAAATTTGTATATAAATTTACATAAAATAATATAAAACTTTAAGAAAACTCTTCGAAAATGTAAGATTTTGATGCTAAAACGTTAGAACTTTATGTATAAATACAAAAAACAATAACATAAAAATTAAAGAAAATTCTTCTAGAAAACAATATTTTGATGCTAAAATGTTAGAGAATTGTGTGTAAAATGGTATAAAACTGGAAGAAAACCCTTCTAAAAAGCAAGACTTTGATTTCTAAACATTAAATATTGTGAAGAAATGTATATAAAGGTCATAGAAATGAAGGAAAATTCCTCTAGAAAATATTTTCATGCTGAAACATTGAAAATTTGTATATAAATGTATAGAAAGTACGAAACTAGATTGAAGAATCTAAAAATTGAATCGAAGTGTTGTTGTTAAGAGTAAGGGGATAGAAAAACTGTTGATTTTTTAAAAAGGAAATTATGAAATTTCTGTGTATATTGTCACTTTTTCAATGAGTGAGAAGGAGAAAGGGAGAAAGAGAGAGAGTTTTATAGGTTCTGTAACTGTTGCATTGAAGTGGACAAGGAGTGGAAAGAGATATCGAAAAGAACAGTCCTGGATAAAACCAGGACGTAATCTGATTCTTATATATATAAATAACATTCAGTGAATCTCAGATGTCAAGATACGTCAATCACTTTCACCAAGAACATCCGGAGCTATTTCGCTCTTCACTCACCCATTTTTGCTATTATCTGACTCTTAGCAACCGTTAGAAACTAAGAAATAAAAATATATAACTTAAATTTCCTAAAAAAGCAAAGTTTTTTTGGACTTTTATAACTTTAAATAATGTTATTCTTATACAAACTTTACTATAAACGATTCGTCAGTCTAAAAAAAATTATATTTCTCCTGTCCTTTACGTGGCATTAAATGCTTATTTTATGTCTAAAATTAATAGAAATTAATAAAGACAAGTTATTAAATAGTTTATTATTTAAATTTTTAAAGTTTAATTCAAATAAATTTGCACAAATGATTTGCACAAATTCAAGGTGTAGTTTACCTCATTATTTAGTCGAATTTCTAAATATATTAAATGTTCAATGGGTAAATTCCTATATAAAAATGAGTTTTACACAATGTATTATATTGAATTTTTAGAAAAAGTAAGGCATATTTTATATAAATTTTCGGAAATTCTAAATTAATCTTCGTTAGGTTACAGTAAGCATTACTACAAGGCATACAAACTGTACAAGGTGTAGACTTCCAAAATATGATGAAAACCGATAGAAAGTATAAAAATAAGAGGCCTAAAAGCATGTAATCTAATTATAAGAGCCTAAAGATGTTAAAATAAGTAAAATTCATCATTAGAATTCCGAAAGATGATAAAGAATTAGAGCAAATAGAACGAGAAATGGTGGAGAAATTCGCTTAAAAAACAGAAAAAATCGATATAAAATGGATTATAAAATAGAAAAAAAAGACCATAAAATGTTATAAATAAGTTATATAAAGAGAAATAAGTATATAAAAGTATAAATATTACGAATTTTTAGAACTATTCAGCGTAGGCCTACGCGAAACAGGTTAAAGTCAGTGGGAAAAAGTCGACTTGGCATAGAATCTAAGCGTAGAATTAAACTTAAACTAATATAATTATAAATAAAACACAAATATAATGTAAAAAATAAAGATTTCAAATTAAATTACTCAAAAATTAAGCCGTAACAATTCGAAACTCACGTAATTAATACCACATTAATGCTATAGAAAGCGATAGGCCTAGAGCAGAAAAGTATGGCTAAAACGGAATAAACTAAAAATAAATAACAGGAAATATTTAAAAAATAAATATTCTATTAGAATTCGTTAAATTTGAATAAAATAAAAGTAGTTTAAAGCCGCTACACAGCGTAAAAGGATGATTTATACGTTATAACATCGCTCATCCTCAACGACCTCAAAAGATGACCTTAATATACGATTTAATATAACTTTTATACGCTTAATCTTAACGAAAATATATAAATAGCAATTTAAAGCTTTAATTTAAGGTAATTTAAGCGAAAAAAGCCGATAATTTGGCAGTTAGAATTGATAACTTACGTAAAATTTATCTGTAAATCTAAAAAATATAATTATCAAAGTCGAAAATATTCATAGGCCTAACGCCCACTAATTTAAATACCTACAAGTAATTTATAAACTTAAAAATAATAAAAGATAGGTAGAAGAATCGCGTAGAATTTCTATAGAACGGCGCTAATTAGAGCCTAGACGTAGGCCTTTGGAAGCGTTACGTTCGAACCCGTTTAGGAGTGAGAGAGTTAAAAAAATGAACAGAGAAGCCCTTAATAAGGAACGGAAATACGTAGGCTACATACAAATGTATATAAGTAAAATGGAAATAAATAATAAAACTTACTTATCCTCATCAGCTAAGAAGAGAAGAAGCCTTAAGTAAAGGGAGGGTGATGTTGGATAAAGGACCAAAGATAAGGGACAGGTCCCGGTTTGTAGAGAGTGCCGCGTCGTGGTACCATTTCTCAACTGCCACACACCAGATTCTAAATCGGGACTTTTGCGTAACGTTCTCCTTATATAAGACAAGGCGAAATTGAATATCGCCAATGTCCCTAGTATCTCATGACATTTTCATGAAGTTTTAATATGAAATATTGTTGTGTGTGTGTTTATCCGTACTTCGGTAATTACATTGCTTAGGAACCGTCTGGGCCAGTGGGGGCTAGTAACCCTCCCCTCTCTCCTTCCCCCCGCTTCACGGTCCTTAACTGTCGCCCGCTTTCACTGACAGTTCACTAATTTGATCAACTGTAGTAATAAGCCGTTCCAATTTGGCTAAGTGCATGCATGCCAGCCGGGCCGATGGCTTTGAGCGCGGAGTTGTAAACGCACACACACGACATCATCCACCACCACCGTGGCCACCCCCCCGTTTTCTGTTTCGATTCCTACTTAATTAGTAAGTGGCTTATATTATACCTTCTAAACTCTTGTTTCTGGATAGTAGGGCAAGCAACACATCTGGATTCGGTGTAGGTGGTTCTGCTAAACTTGATGCGCTCACCATAGTGGACATTTCAACCTTCTATTCACTTGGGTAGAGAAAATAGGAACAAAACTTTCCCCTATCGTAGCTCAACACAGATTCACTTGACCACTAGAACTGGGGTTGATGTGGCTCAGGGTTAGCCCCCGACGATGACTCGGCCGTTGTTTAATTTGGCTAAGTGCAGTACGTTTCGGCCTTTCCAATAAAAAGCTGAATGTCACAACGGTGACGCTTTCCCGTTCTTCAATTTGTGGTCCTGACAGCAACGTTAACGTACCCTCCCCTGTTTAGTTATGCGACCGATAGCGACCCTGGTACCACCCTTCTGACGTCTTTAACCAATCGGCTGCTTTCGTAGGCGTGGTCATCTCCTTTCCATACTTGAAAAGCACCCGTATACTTTTCTCTATAGTTGCTTAACCGAGTGAGGTAAGAATTTTCTTTACTTTATTTGTGTTCCATGTTTGTTCTTATTTATCATTGTTGCGGCTAAAGTGTGTTTATTGGTGTTTTGTGTGCCACTATTTCCCTCACCTTTCGTGGTGCGTTGCAATTGACCTATAATTTCCTCCCCTCCTTACATTTATAACTCGCTTTCGCAATGGGAATAATTTTATTATTGTGTTTCCTACCGCATCTCTTACCTGTGAGCGACATTTTGAATATTCTTATTGGTGCTTCCTACGCGCCACGCTTTGAACTATCGTTAAGAAATCATCTCGTGCTTTATTTCTTTCGACATTGTTAACAATTTAACAATTCGGATGGCTTCTGTAGGCCTTCCGGAGCCTTTACGGCCTTAAAAACCTATATGCCCACTTGATTAATAAGCTGCATTTTAAGCATATTTTACCGCGTTAATCTGTAAATTATTGTAACCTTAACCGTTTTCTTTCAAGTTATAGCTTTAATTATCACTTCAGAACATAGATTTTCTGATTATCTTTCCCTAAAAATATTCATTGTAACCTTATGTTTTTATAGGCCTTTAACAAATATGCTTAATTGTAGGAGAAATGCGTGAATTTGTTCCGAATAAATCAATTTTTCTCTTATCTTTGATGATGTTAGTTTAGATTTATGGAAAGAAACAATTTAGAAAATTGTGATAAATGTTTCGCCCTCATTATAGGGTTAGTTTAATACATAATTTAATAATTAAATTAATAATTGTAGCATATAATTAACTGGTTGATCTATTAATAAAGCCAATAACAGTCGAAATTAAGTTAAATTTTATTGTACAAATTGCACATCCGTTCAAAGATCTATAGACTATAGCTATATAAAATACAAGCATTTGACTAGGAACCGAACCCGTGATTTTCGGTAAGATTGATATATTCTAATTAACTCATTTAGGACGTTAGACACTGTCTAAATTAGTTTAGAATTTTGTTAAAAGACGTAAACGTGTCACATTAAGTTAGGTAATTAAGAACATTCGGAGCGTTGTTACAAGACGTGGGTTCGGATCTTATTTAAGAATAACGGCAATTTGGCTCATGTTCTAAAGATTTATATTACTTTTCTTGATAGATATATGAATTAAGTTTAATGCTTTATTAATTAAATTTGTGTGTTGTTTAATGATAATGATTCCAAATTTTGATGTTCCTTCTCAATTGAAGTTGTGAGTTTAAACTTCTTTTAGATTTTTTTTTTAATAAAAATGTAAGAAATAGATTAGTAATTTACGTTCCTTGAATAAATTTTTGCGATATTTTTCTATTAATTAATATTTTACAAACTTAAAAAGAATCGAAAATAATTAAAGATTGTGGATTCGGATCTTATTTAAGAACAAATATATTTTGTTACATGTTCTAAAGATTNTTCTAATCTCCCGCCTCCCCTATCATGCGGCCATCTCACAGCCAATCAGCAGTCCACCGACTACCGCCCAAAGGTGGTGTGCGACCAGAAGGGAAAATGACAACCTTGCGTTACAAAAATAGTAAAACCCGACACAATAAATAAAAAAAAAATACAGCAAAAAAAAAAAAACAAAACAAAAAATAAGTTACAATATAAACGAGTGCCTAGCACTACACATTCATAAAAACTATGATTTTCGAGTCTCCAGTTTTGGCATATTGCAGCAAGAACAGTTATTATTATAGTATCTAATACATACATACATACATACATACATACATACATACATACATGCATACCAATATAATAGCCCGATTGTTTAGCTTAGTATCTAATACATAATTAACACCATTTTACATAAACAGAATTATAGTTCAATCTTAATAAAATTAAATTACATTAAATTTTTAATGATATAGTTAATAACAGGTAAATAACTATCATTAATTTACTTATAGGCCTATATAAGAAAATGTTTGCCCTATAATTACATTCCATATTTTCAGAATACTGTATAATAAATGATATTATGGTTATTATCTCAGTGAATGGTGTGGTCTTATTAAACATTTTTGTCATAGGCTACTTTATACCTTATCCATACTAAAGTTCTAGCCTAAGTTACTGTTTGTGAGCCAATTTTACAGCAAGTCTAAGTCTAAATCAGAATTTTAAGCTGAAAATCTTGAGGTTGATTTGTACATCAGCATATACAACAAATCACTAAGATCTCTAAATTCAAGCAGACACAATGTTGATTGAAGAACATGGATTCAATTCTCATTTAAGAACAAATATATTTTGTTACATGTTCTAAAGATTTATTTTTCTCTTCCAAATGGATATTTAGATGTAATTTAATTTATTTTATTCATTAAATTTTGTAAATATGTGCTGTTTAATAAGGATTTATCTATATTTTGATGATTTTCTGATTATCTTTTCAAGTCGAATTTTTGAGTCATTTCTCTTAGTTAAACTTTTAAATATTAAAATTGAAAAAAAAAAACAGATTAAAACCCATGTTTACTGTAAGTTTTCACAACATTTTTCATTAATTAATAATTTACAAGCTTAAGAAGAGCTGGAAATAATTAAAGGTCGCCAATATATATGTATAGATAGTAAGTCATTTGAGGTTAGTGGGTTGGTCTCTTATATTTTTGTTGATCCTCTAATTTGTTTAAGTCTTTTTTCGGTGGTTTCTGTTCCTGGCAAATGTTAAAAAGATTACGCCATTTGCTCTCTAGCGTTGACATCACTTGAAAAATCCCAATTTTATGACTCTTTTCCAACCTAGCTAAGTTCAACCGTTTACAAATCTTATAATAACGTTATCATAAGACGAACTAGCGAAAATTTGGTATTAAATTTATATTTATACGACGAATTTAAACTCTTGAAAGTTTAAAATCTTGTATATTATCTACTTTTAAGAGTAATATAAAAATTAACATAAAGTAATCCCTCTTATCTTTTAGATGATATCTTTTCTCGTGAATAAGAATTAATTATAAAATGTAAAATGACTTATAATAATGAAAAATTATAAACTATTTTTATAATTGTTTAAAAAATTAAGTTTTTTTCATTTAATATTTTTATAATTTTAAAATAAAAAGCAATTTACAATCATTAATCTGACAAGTTTCTCTTTATTAACATAAGCTGTATAGTTTGTTCTTTCTAGCTTAATTTTTATAATTTTAAATAAATATTTCAATAAAATCTTTTATAAAATATAATTTATATATTATATATTTAACAATTAACAAGGGTATTTAATATTTTATTAAATAAAACAAAGAAAGTTTTGAAATTAACGTTACATAACATGACTGATTTGTAGACTCGATACTTTAATTTGAGATAATTAACTTATCCATAAATTTTTAAATAATTAAATTATATGTCTTATATTCTTAAAATTATGTGTACTTTTTTAAAAATCAAATTTACATTATTTCTAATGAATAAAGTTACTTATATTTTTCTTATGGAAGTGCTTATGTTCTGAGTTTCAGAATATCAAACACTTTTATAAGCAAAAATTTATTCCTAAATCTTAAATATTTTTAAAACTAATTAAAATTTTAAGTAATATATTTAACAATTATTCAGAAAATTATTCGAAACTCCCAATCGATCCATAAATTGTTATGATTCGTTTTAAAACAGCATCGTTTATCCCTACATCATCCCTTTATTGATGAATGAATGCAAGATTAAAGCAGTTAATTAATTTGTTTTTGTATATTTAATATAATTTTAATATATATTAAACTCTAGAAATGTACTTTTTCATATATGAGGTTTCTGTATTTTTTATTTATTTTCTCTTGTTTATTATTTTTTAAAGTAAAAAAATAGAAATAAAGCTATTAATTAACGATGCTTATATTTAAAGTACATTATAAATTTTCTGTGTTAAAATTTATGATTTCTGCACAAATTATCCCTTAAAATATCCCTAATAATAAATAAATTTATTAATTGATTATGTGGTTAATAAGCTTGATTCATTTTATTGCATATAATTTATAAGACAATTTCTTTAAATTTTATACAGTTATTGAAGCGTTAAGCTGTTGAATTTAATATAATAAAATTTAAATATATTTAATTAAGTCATATATATTAATATTAAGCAGTTTTTCTTGATGAATTTTATCTTTTATATGTTTTATTTATATAAATATTTAGTTATAAATCTAAAAAATTTGTAATTAAAAACAAATTAAATTTAGATTTTTTATCAAAATAACAATTAAAAAATAATTTCCAAGCAAATTTAATTTTAATTAGAAAAATAAAGCATTTTTTTTCTCTGTTATTGATCAATGAAAGTATATTATTAAGTCAGAATAGCGTGCGTAAATGCGGTTGATGCTATTATGGTATCATTTTGTCAATATTTAATGCAGAGGAACTATCCGTGCAATCTGAATCTATTGTTCTGCATTTGACAAAAATACTTGATAAGTAAATCGAGAGGCATATAATCAACTAACTATCATTTCATAATAAAAATCTCATTATTTAAATGTAAAAATTGAAATAAAAATAATTGATAAAGGTAATTTCGTGTCTTAATAAGCTAATTTTATATAAATCGTGCTAATAAATCATTTTCTAGATGCAATAGATTTATTGTTAATGAGTAAAGTAAGCCTTAGCGCCTTTAAATGTGTCTTCTCATTAAAACAAATCTGTTAGACAGTAAAGCCGCCATTTAGGTGCTGAAGATAACCTATGCTATTTGATTAAATTTCTCGACTAATTA